AAAACCAAAAAAAAAAAAAAAAAAAAATCATAATTAGGTTTTAAATGTTGGAATGGTTCCATTTATTTACATATTGTCATGTTCTCAAAGGACTCACATAGAAAAGTTTACTATTAGTATTTCAAATGTTTTTCTTAAAATTAACTGCATTTTTACTGGATAAACTGGAAGGATTAACTGCATGATTTAATTTTTTAAAAAAAGAAAAATGTGTGCAGTGTTACTTTTCCAGTGGCTACTGGTCGTGATCAGTTAGGATTTATTTTTATCTTAAATTCACTTTCAGGTTTGGCAGATACGTGTAGACCTCCACTTATTAAATCATGATGGAAATATTATTGATGCTGCCAGCATAGCTGCAATCGTAGCCTTGTGTCACTTCCGAAGACCTGATGTCTCTGTCCAAGGAGAGGAAGTAACGCTGGTAAGCTTCCAGAGTTCAGACTGGAACTGGTCCCATGAACGAATGGGTGCCCTAGATGTGCTGACAGGTAGTTATTAGTGGAGGCATGTGGCAGATGGTATTCAGATTTATTCTAGTATTTGTTCATAAGACAAAAACTGCAGGTATTCAAAATTGCCCTAGAAATTTCCAGTTCCCTTACAGAAGTGTCTGTCAGTAATACCATAACCCAACTTGGTTTTCTGAAATACAACTCTGTGACCCTTTCTTTGGATTGACTATTAGAGGAGATGGGTTGGTTTCTGTATAGGGTCAGCGTGAGATGCTTACTCTTGAGAGGCCGGCAGTACCTGAATAGAACTGAGATCATCAGATTTATGTGTTTTCTTCAGGCCTTTTGTTCCCTAAGCCAAGTAGATGATACACATTCATCGGAAATGCCTGGAGCGCTTGTTAACAATGTACTGCTAGGCCCTGCTTATGCAGGAGGGTAGAGATAGGATCTAAGAACTTAGACCTCTAACTCAGTGCTCAGACAGTCCCAGTGCTGGTCCAGGGATCACTGTGAGAACCAGTGGTCTGTGCTGTCCTCCTCTTTTTGCCAGGTTGGTCAATTTTGATTCATATATATCACATGCTAGAATAATGGCAGTGTACTGTTTGAGCCCTGAGTTGCAAAGGGAACCATCCAGTGCCCAAGTTTTCATAATGCTGTTTTGAGGTACTTTGCCAGAGCAGAATCTGAAAACTTGGAGGCCAGAACAGTGCTCCTACAGAGGAAGGAGTGTATAAGGAAATTTAAAAACAGAGTGTGATTAGTTTTGCATGGAGGTAGAGCCCTTATTCTGAGAAGTGCCAGGGCTCCTGTTGGCAGTGGACATACACCTTACTAAAAAGGCATCAGGGATAGAAGATTAGACATAGATGGATGTTTTATCATCATAAAATAGGAACACAGTTGTCAAAGACATTACTTAGCTACTCACAATGAACACCTTCTTAGTGTCTGATAGCAAAGTGAGTTTTGTATTCTCATTTGCTGACTCTAAGGATTTGGCCTTGTCTTCTGACAGTATACCCCCGAAGAGCGCGACCCCGTGCCATTGAGCATCCACCACATGCCCATCTGCGTCAGTTTTGCTTTCTTCCAGCAAGGGTAAGTGTCATGGGCCTTGTCATGGGCCGAAGACGTACGTATACCTGGGAATTGGATCCTGTTTATCAAAACAGGGTCCCATATCTCATGCTGGTTTTGAGCTCTCTGTACAGCTGAGGTGACGTTGAACTTCTGATCCTCCAGCCTCCACTTCCCATGTGCTGGGATTCCAGGCAGGCATCTACTGCCGTGCCTGGCCGATGTGGTGCTGGGGACTGAACTCCAGGCATTGTGTGTGCTGTGTAACACTACTAGCTGAGCTGTGTCTCCAGCCCCAAGCTAGGACCTCTGTTGCTCTGTTCTGACACGACCACAGACACGCTGGCCTTAATAGTAGAGCATCTGGGGCTGGAGAGGTGGCTCAGAGGTTAAGAGCACTGGCTGTTCTTCCAGAGGTCCTGAGTTCAATTCCCAGCAACCACATGGTGGCTCACAACCATCTGTGATGAGATCTGGCTCCCTCTTCTGGCCTGAAGGGCTATACGCAAGCAGAACACTGTATGCATAATAAATAAATAAAAATTAAAAAAAGAATAGTAGAGCATCTGTTGGTCTCTCCCTGTCTTTGTAAGTTTTGGAATGGAAGTGACAAAATTCAGTTGTTAAAAATACACTTCCCATCACTTTTCTGCTCATAGCATACTTACAGAATAAGAATTCAATGCGATCCTTACTTGGGCTAGACAAATGTGTTGGGAATGACATGTGAGCTCTCATTTGAGAAAGGGGAAGAGTTCCTGTGGACCAATGAAATGCAGGTACTGTGAAGCAGAGTAGAGGGGGTAGTTCTAGAAGCACATTGCAAGGGAAAGTGATTTGCAAACTAGAAAACTTGTTTCCTTCAGCTGTCTGGCCTTTTCTTCACAACTCCTTGTTAATCTTAGTATACAATGGGGAGTCTTATATATCCACAGAATGTGCTTCTTTCTAAGTAAAGATTGATTCCTAGATTTTCAGGAAAGTTCTTTCGTGCATAAGAACTAGATAAAAAGATTTCAACTTTTAGTTATTGTAGCTAATTCTGTATTAGGAAAATGGACCAGCATTGTCTAGTAAAATAAAAGGTATATGCCATAAAAGTAACTTAAAATTTTCCAATAGTCACATTGAAAGGTAAAAGAAACATATTAAGTATGGAAACCAGAAATTGGGGAAGACCTCAGTGGCTTTCAGGCCAGCCTGGGCTCCATAGCAAACTCTAGGCAAAACTCAGAAACATAGTGGGGTCCTTTCTGAAAACAAGATAAAAACAAGTTAAAGAATTTTTATATTTCAGCTGGGCGGTGGTGGCGCACACCCCAGTATTCGGGAGGCAGAGGTAGGCAGATCTCTGAGTTCAAGGCCAGCCTGGGCTACAGAGTGAGTTCCAGGAAAGGTACAGAACTTCAGAGAAACCCTGTCTTGAAAAACCAAAAAAAAAATTTTTTTTTATATTTCTTTTAACCTTATAGATGTAAATTTTGTTTTGTTTTTG